ACATTTTAGGGAGGGTATTTTTAAGTTATCTAAAGAAAATGTATTCCTGTTGAATCCTTTTTACACTGTTAAAATACTCATTCCCTGCCTCCCTCCCCTTCTTCCTTCCCTTCCTCTCACCTTGCCTCATTCCTAGTACCAGGGTTTAAACTAAGAAGCTTCAATCTTGCTTGGCTTGTTGTACTCATGGCTGGTACTTTACCACCTCCAGTTTCTAATCCAAGCTTCTTTTTAAAAAAACATAATTTTATTGTAAACACTGGTTAAGTGGAGTTGGAGTCTTAAGAACTTTTCTGTTCAGCTGGCTTTAGATCTAAGAACTTTTGGGTCTCAGCCTCCCAAGTACCTAGGATTATATTCATGAGCAGCTGGTACCTGGCTTGACTTTTCTTTTTTTTTTAATTTCCAAATGATTTTATTAGATAATGTAGGCTTTTCAAATTTGAATTTACAGAAAATTAGGACAGAAAGACATCATCCTAGCATGAGAAATTGCCCTAAATGCCCTGTCATCTTTTTTAATTAATTAATTAATTTTATTGTGAGAATACCGTACAGAGGGGTTACAATTACATGGGTAAGATAAAGAGTACATTTCTTATCAAGCATTGTTGCCTCCTCTTTGCTTCCCCTTCCATCCCTTCCCATACTTCCTCCCCCTACCACCAAAGTTGTAAAGTTTGGTTTTCGACATAATGACTTGTACATTTCATTGTTTCAATGGGTGCACCTGTATCCCTAGTTAAACGATTTGTTTTTTCTGGCTTGACTTTAAGATAGCTTTTGAGTTTTTGATACTGTGGATTTAAAATCACTTGGACATATTGATCAGTATTTTGAGGAGCCATGAGCAGAAACAATGTTAAGTACTTCCAAGTTTTGTCCAACTGCTTTTAAATATTCTTAAGAACAGGAATTTGATAGGTGTTTACTAAGCTTAAGAGCAATAATTTGAAGGTTATTACTAAGCAGGGTTAGGGGTTGAACCTAAGTTTAATCAGGAAAGCAAAATGGATTTGATGACGAGATAAATCCAAAATATCCAGTAAGGTATCTTTTCATGATGAATTTTAATAGGTTTTTTTTTTTACATCTAATTGGTATAATATATAGGTAAAATATATCCTTGTCTTTGTTGTGTATATGCAAGAGATAAATGTTGCTCTTTTTAAAATTTTATTTATTTTTGTCGGTTGTGGGGCTTGAACTCTGGGCTTGGGTGCTGTCCCTCAGCTCTTCAGCTCAAGGCGAGCGCTCTACCACTTGAGCCACAGCGCCACTTCCAGTTTCCTAGTGGTTTATTGGAGATAAGAGTCTCTGGGACTTTCCTGCTCGGGTTGGCTTTGAACCGTGATCCTCAGATCTCAGCCTCCTGAGAAGCTAGGAGATCCTCAGATCTCAGCCTCCTGAGAAGCTAGGATTACAGGTGTGAGCCACTGGCGCCAGCATGTTGCTCATTTTTATTACCTTCACTTTTGGTAGGAATGAATATGTGCATTTTGAACTTAATTCAATGAAAATAGGAAGCCATTTTAGAGCCAGTACATTACCCTTTTTAGTTTTTCTTGACTAATTGCAGTAGTTATTCATCGTTGGTTTTTTGTTTTGTTTTGTTTTGGTCATAGGGCTTGAACTCTGGGCCTGGGCGCTGGTCCTCAGCTCTTCAGCTCAAGGCTAGGGCTCTACCACTTGAGCGACTTCCGGTTTTCTGGTGCATAATTGGAGATAAGAGTCTCACAGACTTTCCTGCCCAGGATGGCTTTGAACCACGATCCTCAGATTTCAGCCTCCTGAGTAGCTAGGATAACAGGCGTGGAGCCACCAGCGCCAGTTTCTGGCTTTAAGTGTTAAACATAGCAGAAACTTAATCTTAATAGGTAAATCTTTCTTAATTGATTCCTGTAGTTGGGGCATAGTTGTGTTTTATATAACATTTCTCTTTGGTATTTCTTTTTTT